ACTTAATAAAAAATTAGATATTTTGCGTAAGAAAGCATTGTAATGTTTGCTGATAATATGCCAAATTTCGTTAACATTCGCTTACTAATTTAAAAGTTATAACATGAAATTATAATAAGCACAAAATGGTTACGAGGACGTCACATTGACCAACCCTGTATTGAAAGAGTTAAAGTCTAACAATAATTTTGATTCTGATTCTTTTATTGGTTCTTTTACGTTCGCAGAACAGTCCTTTTCAGGGTATGGATCAAACCTAGGATCCAAATGTCAAGGGAAATTTTGTTGTGAAGGGAGGAGACGGGAGTACCCTGAGAATATCCACTTTCACGGCGGGGGTGCCGAATAAGATTGCCCTAACCATGCCCAGAACAAGTAAGATGGGGAGAAAAATATGGATTATTACAACCTGTGGATTACATAAATACTTATAAAATAAACTTGAAGGATGAAAGTTGAAGGTAAGCTCTGAAGTTCTTGGTTATAGTTGTCATCAGAGATTGAGTTCTCTGTGTATATGGAGTCTGGGCGAGTATAACATAGCTTATGTAAGTACAGGTCTTTCGGGTTGAACAGAGAGGAAGTTTTAGTCATGTAGGAATAGGGTGACTCGGACTGCTTGGTTGGTGATCGCAGGATGGGTTTTTTGTCTGTCTGTAGTTTTCAATGTTTTTTGATGATGCGTGTCTGAGGCTCTTGGCTGGAAGTTTGAAAGCTGTCCATGGATATTGAATCATTAGACTTGATGATTCGTAATGTTTGGGTCTCGGCTGTATATGTGTTCTGTAAGTGCTTCTTGGCTGGTGGAGACTAGGTGAACTAGTTCATGTTGTTATGTATTTTTTGTGACTGTTTCTTGATGGTGTTGTCTAGGCGAACTTGTCTGTGACCTCAGTGATTGCTGTGGTTGTTTCCTGACTATTGTGGCTTGGGTAACCTTGACTGTGCGGTCTGGTTTGTATTTGTCGGTGGATGGTAATGAGATTTTTGGGTTCAGTGCTCTATTGACTCG